CAGAAGGGACCACTTCCCCTCCTCAACCCTTTCGTCCCCACCCCTCCCTCGCACACGTCAGGTATGCCCCGAAAAGACGTATTGCCCCACAGGCTCGTCCAACACGACAACGTGTCCGGCTGGATCTTACTGCCCGGTGGAGACGCCAGAGCCGATCGTGTGCCCCAGGGGATACTATTGCCCGCTGGGGAGCTCCGAACCGGTGGCTTGCGTGCTGGGCACCTACTGCCCGGAAGGGTCCGAGATTTTCACGTCGTGCCCCTTAGGGTGGTACGGCAGCCTGACCTCCAACAATACGCTGTGGTCAAGAGATGACGCTTGTGCCGAGGTAACTTTTGTCTTGAGCTTCGCGTTTTAGGACTGAGCATCGTGTATAACTTGATGTGTTCGTTGCTGGCGGAGGACTTACACACACTCAAGGCGAAAACGGGCTGATGATGAAGTGGGAAAGTTTGCGCTGAAACCGGCAGGATCAGGGCGTTGCAGGGGAGAAGAATACGGACATATGGAAGGGAGGTGGGAGAGGGAGGCACGGCCGGAGGGAGGGCCAGGAACTTGACTCGTTGTGGTGTACTTGATCGGGAGCACGGATATGATCGCCTTCATTGCCGACCCAATTATTCGTGTATAACCCCCCCACGAGTGGCGATTACCGCAGGAGACGGAGAGGCGACACCCCCCGTCGACCCGGTTTTCAAAGATCCATTGCTCCACCACTAAGATTGTGTCAACACCAAAAATGGTGGTTTTGACACATCTCGTCGAGGGCTCTGCGTAAACTTGTAGATCGTTCTTCACCCCCCTTGTTGTGGAACATTCGAGCTTTGAAACTCGACCTTAGGGGGGTTGCCATCTCTTCGCCTCTTACGGTAGTTCGTCGACATCTGTAGCGGCCAACAAACCAATATTTAAAGTTTCCGCGAGGACCTTCTGCCAGTGGTCTCATTTCTCAAGTCACCTGCTCCCTCTCGTGAGCCTGCGAGCGATCAACACCGAGAGGGTTGATTGGAGAAGTGAATGACAGTTGTTTCCAACCGTCTTAATTTATCACGGTGCCGCCAACGAAGTATTGTACTTTGCGCTCACCGCTCTCACTTATCTTTGGACGGAATTCTGTGGTCACCATCGTCCAACCCTAGTGCCCACCGGGTACCTACGGAGCCGACCCGGACAGACTAGTCTGCGATATATGCCCTGGGGGGTATGTCTGCCTCGGCACCACGATCACCGCCACGCCCACGTCCGAGGAAATTGACGGTGGATTCCAGTGCACAGTGGGACACTACTGCCCGGAAGGCTCGTGGGAACAGATTTCTTGTGCAGCCGGAAGCTACAACCCCGAGGTCGGGTCATCAGCCGCTTCGGAGTGCTTGGTCTGTCCGGCAGATCACTACCAGGTAAAGACCGCACTCGTCCTAATCGGACGTTCATCTTTCCCCATCTGGATCCACCTAGAGAAGATTCTTGACGATGTCCCCGTAGTAAGAAACCCGATGACGAGCTATGTAGTTTTCGTCGGCTATTCTCGAAAGCTGTCCGGGAAAACCGTGCCCCCGTGGGCACGGACCAATGGGAGGGCCAGCAAGGTTCAACTCTCTTCGTGGCCAGCTCTCCTGTACTGCCGTATACCCATTCACCGCTTTGTTGTGCTTCTCTTTCATCCCCCACATATTTCAAGCGTCTTGCTCGATTGTGCTCTATTCCACAATGTGCACCCCCCCCCTGCCCCCGGTGTTTACCATCGGGGTTGGGTTTTCGTCGCTTGGCAACGACGTTGTAAAACAAGCCGCCCCCCCCGGTTTTGCCATCGGGATTGGGTTTTCGTCTCTTGGCAAAGACGTTGTAAAACAAGCCAATTCACTTCGTGAACTCGGCAACCAGGTTACCGTTTTTTTTTTTTACTCCGGTTTTTTTTTTTTGGCGGTAACCGTAATGGTGGTCGAGTAGATCATGTTGTGCGGGGTGGAGAACACTCGCTCCGCGCAAGGGGGATGATCGCACCACGTTGTGTTAAAATGGTCAAGCACCCTCGAGGCAGTTACACAGTGCTTACAACTGTCTCTGGAAGTGAAAGCACCAGAA